CACATGACAGTGTGAGAAGGGTGCGAGCTTGGCAGAAGGGCGGTCTTTACCTTTTTTGGGAGGGCCCAGCCTCAGAATACGTGCCAGAGATTCCTGAGAGGTTCTTAGAAGTTCAAGGGAGGGTGGTGGCCCTGCAACTTCACTGAACAAGTGTATATACAGGTGGTGACCTTGGTTCCCTTATCCAGAGGTCACCAGGCTTAGCTGGTACCCCCATGTATACATGTATTCTTGTATTCATGTAATCCATGTATATGTGTGTCCTTGTATTTACATATACACATATTCTTGTATTCATGTATCCACATATACATGTATCCTTGTATTTATGTATACACATATTAGGGGTGCTTAAAGCTGGGCACAGCTTGCAGACACATCTTGCAGCACACATACCAATCAGCTTAGTTAGATAACATAAATTTAATGTCCACTTGGGGCCCTAACCTTGGGTTTGTCATGTCAAAATCATCATTGTTGTTTGCTGCTCACCTTGTTCAATGATGAGCTCAACTCAATCTTTTATTTATGGCTCTAATTTGGTGCATTTCTAACAATTCCTAACCAGAACTTAAATACAACATTTTCTTGACTTTATAAAACTGTAAAAGCTTCATAATCAAGGTAAAAATGCCACCAGTTTGGGGTTGACAATGCCAAACAATGCCCAAAGTGTCTTTTTTGAACACCCCTATTCTTGTATCCATGTATCCATGTATACACATATTCTTGTATTCATGTATTCTTGTATTCATGTATCCATGTATATGTGTATCCACATATACACATATTCTTGTATATATGTATCCCTGTATATATGTATATATTTATATATCATTGTATCTATGTATCCATGTGCCTGCATATACACATATACTGGTATCTCTGTATCCATGTATACATGTATCTTGGATTCCTGTATTCCTGTATATGTGTATTCTTGTATCCCTGTATCCCTGAATCTCTGTATCCTGTATCCATGTAGCCATGTAGCCACATATATGTGTATCCCTGTATTCATGTATTCATGTATCCATGTACTTATCCACATATACACATATCCTGACATTGGATGATATCAGTTAATCTGAGCATACATTCTGCACTCCACCCTACATTATACACATTCTTACAAAGCCTACAAAGTCAACTAAGTCGACTCAAAGTCCTCTCAATGCCAGAAAGCATTGAGGTTGTTATTGAAGTTTCAAAAATTCCTGTGATGCCATTGAATAGTGTTTATAGTATGGTCCATTTCAGCATTGATTTCCAGGTCATCCCCACATGTCCTGACACAGCAATTTGTCTGCCCAACTCTTGCTCATGACCAAGTCTTCACGTCACATGTCACATGAAATTTTTTATTCACCTTAAATCAAAGAAAAAGTTTTGGCCATCTTGGTGAGGAAAAAAATTCAAATCAACAAAGAGTTGGTCATATTTGTACAGTATATATATTTAAATTCTATGGACTAAGAGCTGGAATCAGCAGTAAACAACAGAAAGGTAGAAAAGAGTCTTTCAAAGTGATTTGTCAATGTCACACATCCCAATGGGGATGAGGGAAAAAATTCTGTTTTTGGTTGCTTTCAGAGTGCAAGAATGGTGGGATGCACCAAATCCAACAAAAAAAAAAATGGCAGATCCAATGGAGAATGGTCAATACTTACATCGAATTGGACATTGTAAATACTAATTAGTCATGTTGGGGCCGTTTTCACCAAAACTGTTCTTTTTCAACAAGATGGAGAGGGAAAAAAAATTGAACTCTAGTTGCATTATATACAAGATATATCATAGGCAAACATTACCAGTCTGAATACCTAAATCCTTGGCATATATTGCCATTGTCCCCCACATACTACCATTGTTTTATATTAGCTTTAATGTATTTACATTGTCCCTTTAGTGAGTTTGGCCAAATACGGAACATGTGGCTCTTGGAGCCATTATCAATGATATTTTTGCAACAACGCGCCATTGAAGTGTCACGTGAGCTGCTCCTTTATTTCCTCAATCAAACTAGTTAGATTTAATTATATTAACCCCTTCAAAAAACAGATTCATTTTTGTGATGCTATCTACGCTATCAAGGACTCTGCGAACACGGATCGCTGGAGAGAGGTTACCAGCCACGTGACAGAGGTGATGGCGCACGCCAAAAGAGCTCCCCAACCTTAACCCCTCCCTGGATGCATCACGTGACTTGTTAGTATCTTATCTAACCATCAAAGTAACACTTACATGTCATTTTGACAAAGTTTCTATGCCTCAGTAATGATAAATCTTGTGTATAGATGAATGGAGTGAGTTAGGGTAAGATATGTATGGTTATGCATAATCGATCGTAGTTTAGTTCCAGTGTTTGGTTTATTTGATCTTGTTTGACCTCGGCGCTGTGCACGTGCTCAACAAAATATCACACAAGTTCGAAGTCGGCGATGCTTGCTGGCTAGCTTGGATATATATAAAATCTATGCTCACGGCCGAGACACGAAGATGTGAACTCTTCTCCTCCTTTCCGCTTCTGACTATTGCGGCATTTTTCACAGGTTTTGTTTGAGTTAACCCAGGGGGAAGGATTTAAATTGTGAACACTGCTTCTCGGAAGGTGTAGACATCTTTTTTTTTCATTACTAGGTAACATTATGAGCTGTGTGCAGTGTACGTGCTGTGTTTTATGTAGTTCCAACTTCAAATTGCACTTACTATATACTTGGTAGTGGTACATGGGATTAAACTATCCAGAAACCCTGTTTTCCCCTGAACAACCCAGGGTTTCTGAAGTGCTTGCGTAGAAACCTTGTTTCCACAAGAAGCAGAGCTCAGAATATTTGAAGTCCACCACATGCGCATGCATGGGCACAGCGTCATGCATAAGTTCAAGTTGGCGGCAGGGGTCAGCAACCTTTCAAGTAGCAAGGGACTGTGGAAGGGAGCAGTGACATCCCTAGTAAACCACTCCTGCTCTCCTACATCTATGTAAGTACCAAACCCTCATCTTGTACTACAGCATCGTGTAGACCATGAACCAATATTATTTACCATGGTAACCACTTGTCGAGCAGGCGGGTCGCATCGCGCGATGATACGTGTGCGACAAGGGATGTGCGTGATGGAGCTCAACAGCCTCAACTCGTCGCGCTGTCTTCTCATCATGACCAGGGGAGCCAAGATCAATTTAAATTTGAGCGCGACACGCGTCGGCATCTAGGAATTCAACTCCGACATGGGGTTCCTCAAAATAACCCATCGACTGATGGAAGGGGGATTTCTACCAAATGCAGAAGAAACCCAGGGTTCCACGCGAAAAGGGGGTTTCTGGTTAGATTGATCCTGGTACATGTGACCGTTTCTTACACGTGTTACTCATGTGACGTGTCCGGAGGTTGGGGAGCTGCCAAAAGGGAGGGTTGCCAGCCCACCACATACATGCTTTGTTGTCACGGTTGGACCTGTGCAGGGCTTATGAGTGGCTCCAGCGGAAACTTATAAAAGAGGACCGCCGAGAGAGCCACTCCCTTCTCTACATCGCTCTCTCGCAACTATAATCATGCCGTTGCAGTCGTAAGTTTCATGATGAAAGCACTATCCCGGCACATTATCTGACGATACGTTTGGAAAACTTAGATCACCCGTATCCTCCAATCAACTATTGCTCCTATCTAGTAGCCATGTCGACTTGGCTTTCGACATAATTGTCACCTCTTCCGTTGTAATGGCAGGCGTCACACATTCCGGTAAAATCTCGATCTTCCAGGTACCTGGATCAACTACTTGTATGGGCCATCTGCTGTCATAAGTCCATGAGATTATCTGAACCTCCGTTCTCAGCTGCTGTCGTTATTTCCATCTTAGGGCAAGAATCGCTGCTGGCAGTGTTGGACGCCAAAAGGGGATAAATCTGGATGTTGACGTGGTGAGCATATGAAACCCGGCCGTGTCGTCTCTACACAAGTTAAATTAGTCTATGTTTCAGGGCTCAGCAACCTGCACCATTCATGCCTTTCACGACGGATATGGAGCGCAGATACCGACGCTGAACATTCTTGCGGTGCAGAACATCACATGCCGCCTCATGTTCAAGGAGCTCAACGTCTTCTGGGCGTTTGTCTTTTTCTCTTCCGGCCCTTCCTTAAACCGCCCACTTGGTGTTCCGGATCCAAACCACAACTCTGTTGGTTTTAACCTTTACGAGTTGCAAGCAGCCCATATGGCAGCCCCCGAGTTTCCTTACTCCAATGAAAGTCCACCTGATTGGTCTCTAGGGTGCACTCTGCGTGTTGCTACTCAAGAGATAGAGAATTTATGTTCTTTTCTTCGGATCAAGAACATGATTGAGGGGTGGCGTCTGGGGGCATCTGGAGTTTTGGGGCCATTTTGGCAGAATGACTGATTGTGACTCAAGCTTCTGAGATCATGTCAAGCCAATGATATCATTATTATGGTAGTGCGACTTTCTGTATACTCCGTCTGCATCGATTGCACTGGTAGCGACTTCGACGGCTACTTTAACTTCCTAATAAATCACGTGCGTACTTAGGGCAAGCGAAAGCGCGTGATGACTCGCTGAGTGAAGCAAAAACATCGGTGACTCGTCTAACATGATGACGCTCAACTTCACTTGAGCGTCATCCTCTCGCGCTCCTTTCGACTTTGATCCCACCATGTTTTCTCCAGGCGCGGCGACCAGCTGTGCTGCATCGTCGCCCCCACCAAATGTGTTGTCAGAACTCAGATGCGAAGCTTTTTTTTTCATCTGCGCACCAAACTCAACGTCAGAAAGCCGGTCATAAACGAGGTTGTGGAGCTGCTAGTTGGAGGGGTAATGACAAGAAGAAAAAGGGTCTTGACGGAAAAGCTGCCCCTCTGGGTGCAGAAACGACACGAATCAGCTGTGTGAACACAGCCATCCTTAATCACTGGCGCGAAACTGAAGCCATACCCACTCGAAAGACTGCAGTGGGACTGCAGTGGATGGTCCCTCTCGGCCAAATGGAATGTCTGGTATCTTGGGTCAGTCCACTTTTCTTCCGTCTGACTGTGTGTTCGTTCCTCAAAAAGTTTTCAGCGAGCAAGATGGGTCTTGGGAAGACCTCCAGACGATCACATTTAGTGCCTGCCTCCGAGAGCACCACAACTCCAAGCCATTCCTCGTCGTCTGCCCACTTAGTGTCCTCCACATCTGCGTTGGCGAATACGCTAAATTCGCTCCTGATGTGACTACCTTTCCACTCCTTTTTATACCATCTCCTGATTCCCATGCTCTTTTAGATTGTTCCCTGCAAGAACCCATTCCACGCTTTCATTCGCATGGACGACGGGGTGACATCGGACCGTCAAGGAGTGGCAGAGCTGCAAGAGGTCACTAATCTCACCTTTGTGTACGATTTTTCTTAGTTATTTGTTACTAGGCACGTCCAACGAGCACCTTGACGACCCTTGCAAGTACATACTTTGGACACTGAGCGAATTCGCGCTTTGCCCTTGGCTAGGAAAAGTCCGAACCTGCGAGTCCTCCAGCGAGCAGCTTGATGACCCTTGCAAGCACATACCTTGGACATTGAGCGAATTCGCGCTTTGCCCTTGGGTAGGAAGGGTTTGAACCTGCCAGACGAACCGTTGACATCAGGCAACGTGAACACATCAACCGCTGCTATTTTATGAACCTATACTTGGCAACTTGTACCGACCAACTTTCATGATACCTTCCGAAGGCGCTAACGGACCTATTTGTCTAGGCGTTGGAGAAGACTGCTCGATGATGAAATTCTCGCCATTTAGGCAGGCTGCAACTGCAAACTCTACTCCGATAACCCACCTACTAAAGGTTCAACCTCCCGAGCTACAATCCGCGCTACCCACAATTTAATCCTCGGGGATCATTTCCTCTCCCCATGCCATCTTGAAACCATTCCAACACCGCCGGCTTAAAATGGACGTGCTGCTAAGTATGCTTCAGCGAGAGGCGTACAATCGTGTACCTAATGGCGGATTGAGGAGGTGGTTAATCCACGGCGGGAAGGAGGGCGCGGAGGTTTTCAAAGAGGAACGTAGGACTGGGCCACTGATTACACGGGCTCGAACATCTGCCGCATCAATGAGGCCTCCAAACCAACGAAACGTCGTGAGGAATGATTCGGTTCCAAAATGGCGGTCATTGGGTATGCATTTCGTTGATGGAGAGTGTGTAAGCCCTGACTGGTCTACAGAACCCACAGATGGATGCGCAGGTGCAAGATAGGGCGCATAGGATAGGACAGAGCAAGCCTGTGCACATCTTCCATCTCGGACTAATACCTATAACCACTTATTTCATTCCGCATATGCGGCTATAATCCTGATAAGATGCATGGCATCACAAATGGTGTTGCCTCCAGGCAATGGAGGCTGGCTACGGATATAGAGATCTACACTGCGAATGCCAACCCAACTAGTGCCCCACTTTGAAGCTGACATTACTGCTGGTTTAAGTGGTCCCCTCTGCAACCTGTAGATCTGATTTAGTCCGGAGAGGACGGCGGTGTTATCAATCATTGGAAGGACATGTTCTTGCGGGCGACAAAGGAGAGTTCCTATTCAACAGTATGTCAATGTAACGAAGCAATTGTGAACCATCAGCCCAGGCTCGTCCTACGGCGGAATCATACAATGGCGGCTGACAAATATGATATGATTATGATGACTTCGGTGGCATAAGAAAGATTGCCTTTGTCGAGTGTCCTTTGTCTCGCCCGCCACTCAGGTTTTTGCTCTCAAAGCTTATTAAGTTGTGATCATGATGAGTCTGGTAAGCCTTCCATTCCTTTTTTTTACGTTCCAGTGGCATCGAATTTCCTTTTTTCCCTTCACCATAGGTCGCTGATACTCGCTGTGCGAGCTCGACATTCACACTTATTCCCTGTGCGACGCACACGTTCGTAGTCTTTGAGCCACCAACTGTTTTCCTTAAAATTCAATATGGCATCTTCGCCGATCCCTCCTACATTCCCAGAGGCGATGGTAACGGAGGCAGGCCCTCTTGTATCCAAACGCCGACACTCTACAACACCGCCGCCGGTCGGAGAAAACGTCACCCCAGCTCCCTCATCCTTGGGAGAGTTCCAACCTTTCAGCTTAATCCAAACAATCAAAGCACAACGACTGCTTCATAACCCTCAAGGGATAGATAATCCATCCAAGCGGCTGAAACTTGACCCCCTTCCACCGGCTCCGACTCCTTGATGTTTCCGACGAGAAACCCTTCTTGCAAGTCGCAAACTCGACATTGTGGAGCGACTTCATGCGGAGCGACGTTGGCGGCACATGCATCAACGCCAGCCTGAACAAAGCCCAATGTCCTCCCGATTTGGTTCTGAACCACCTGCCAGAGAATCTGATTCCCCTCAGGAACAACGGTCTCTGTCTGATACCATATCTTCCAAACCCGTCACTGAACCACCACGTCTTGCCCAGCTTGATGTCTCTTCTTCTATCCTTCCGTTATCACATCAATGCAATCGAGTTGTAGAATTCGAACAATCAGAAGCCGAGAAATTCCTCCAGAGTCAAGCCTTAGTGAATGTGGACAAGGATGGGGGACAGATGGGTCCAAGTATGGCAGCTGTGGGGCAAAGCGGAGTGAATGATGTGGATGAAGATAGTCAAAGCGAGGGGGGGGAGAGCCAACCGAGCGTGGACGAGGATGGGGAGCAGAGGGATTCAAGTAGGGTCGCTGTGTGGCAAAGCGGAGCGAATCATATGGATGAAGACAGTCAAAGTGAGGGAGAGGAGAGCCAAATCCGAGGAGAAGAGAGTGATGGCGAGGTGGGAGGGAGCCAAAGTGAGGTGGGAGGGGGCCAAAGTGAGGGGGAAGACGAGATTGATCAACTCCATGCCGACAGTGACGGCCAAAGTGAGGGGGAAGACGAGATTAATCAACTCCATGCCGACAATGACTACGAGGCTCTGACCAGCGCGGGCCAGTTGCAACTCGTACGGATCGAGGACGGCGACTTTCAGCCTTCAAGGTCCTCAAATAACCCAAGAACACCCCCCCGCAATAGTGAGCGGGGTCTTATTCCATCCCCAATGGAGGTTGACGCACCTGACCACCGCGTGAGTCCTTCCATTCTGCGAGTAATTCATCATCGTTTTACAAGGCTGTAGTCCGGGTCTTGCGACAATGTACCAGCTCAGCTCGCTAAAGATGGGTTGAACCGCACCGACACCGCTCCCAGAAGTAGCGCTGATGATCAATCCAATTCCGCTCCAAACATTGGAGAATTACCAACACGGAAGGAGCTCAACATCTTTCTCAGTGTTATCCAACAACAGGTCTTACATTGCGCTGAAGATAAGAAATTGGGCACGAAGTATATGGTACGCTGTCTATTTAGGCTCCTATGATGAAGCTAACCTCCGTCTCAACTTAGGAAAATCTATACAAGACGCTGGGCGAGGCTCCAGAGGTCTGAAATTTTTTCTTTCTTCCCTTTCGGCCTTGATTAAGTTCGATTTGCATAGAGCACAACACTTTTGAAGCGCGATTTCGCCGCCCTTTCGACGTGGATTCCAAGGCTCCTTGAGCTGAAGGGAAGACCTGAGTCAGAAAGAACAGACGATGACAGGGAGGGAAAATCAGACGAAACACCTCGCACATACAATGCACCTCGCACATACAATGTTCGTCATCATGACGAGTCTCACCTGAGACTCAAGGTATGTGACCGTACTGCCCCGCGAATCCATTCTAATAACGGTGCATAGCAAAACGTGCGACATTTGGCGGGCTCCATTCTTGGGCGGCCGCAGCAACCTTTGAAAGTCCCTTCAGAAAGCAGGCTCAAACTCTTCCAATCATCGAAAAAGATGGCGAATGGCCCTAGTCTCGAGGATCTTGAACTGGATTTAGTCGGCAACTCGCTGAAATCCGAGTGGAACAAACGCGTTGCGTATCTTTTTGCAAAGCGATACCAAGAGACACCAGACTTCCTTTCCCAGGAACATAATGACAAGGCGGTGGAGAAGGCTTTTTTTGCCCATCTTCCAACTCTAAAAGCGCAATATATCGCTCAGCAACGTGGTCAAGAGGGCACGGATAGCGAATACGAAGAAGCCAAAGCTGTTACTCAATCCACCAAGGCAGCAGAAAACCGTCGACGAGGGGTACGTCTTTACACACACTCCTTTGTGGTCAGCGCATGCTCATTTTAATCTGAATTTGTATTGAAGCTGCGCCACCGTCGCTGCTCTACCGCAAACTACTACGGAAATGATGCATCGATGCAACGATTTAGACCCCTTTTGAACTCTATGCCCTACGAGGCTATGAGTGGGGACGAAGAATGCAGAAAAGCAAAAGATGACGCTATCCGATTCGAGATTACCAATCTCAGATGGAGGAATCCTGCGCCTGAAGTTCGAGCCTGGTTCAAAACCCTGGACGCTCTCCACATGTCCACGAGATTCGCTTCCAACGACCGACCATTAGCCGGTCGATTCCCTCATCGTCGCATCCCATCCAAGCGAATGGAGCCTGTTGATACTCCGGTCCCCAAACTACCTCGGAACTTCTACGACCCTACTTGGCTCGAGACACTTGATGACATCGAGCGCGACATCCTCCAGATTCAACCAGCGATTGACCTGAGGTTTTCTCCTCAAATTTCGTTGTATGTTTTTTCCTTTATTTCCATTTATTTGGGGTCACATTTTCTCCCAGCATTGCCGCTCGGTTTTTCAACGTTAAATCGCGTCATGACAGCCCTGTGCGACGCGACGATCCTTCACTTCCCGTGTTGCCCAGAAACCGACCTGTTGTTGGACCCCGGACCAACTCCAACTACTCCTAATTTCGATACCCACATGCCTCGGGCGCACCATGCTTTTAATGCTCGCTTCCTTACATATTTGACTTTGCGTGGAATGCGTTGAAAATATAATACAAAATATATCTATGATTTTTTCCCCTTGCGCGACTAATAACTATGGCGGGAACGTGCTCTTTGGTAATGCTTCAAGTTTAATTTGTAACTGCTCAGTCAAAGATAGTTTTCGATGTGGACGACTGAGTTTTGATGACTCCCATCCCTAGGACCCTATACCCCAAACCTTGACTTTCTCTATACCTTACAGCTACACAACGGTCACTAATATCCACTTAAATGGAGGCCCATCGGACATAATCACATCTAAGGGAAGCCTTACGCTTCCCGTGCGTCTTAGTACTAGACTACTTATTGCACGTAAATTTCGAGAATCCAAAAAAAAAAAAAAAAAAAAAGACTGAGTTTTGATTCCCCAAGGAGGTTGCGATGCGTGACCGTGGACGCCGCTACGTGCCTCCTCATGATCAGAGTCGCAGCTGCAAGGTTCGCCCAAACGTTATTATCAAGAACCACATCGAAGGTTCCGACCCTCTCAAGCGCTACTTCGACGGGACAAAGATCTCGATAACGGAGACTGGCTACACAGGCTGAGAGGCCAGAAGTCGGACACAGAGTATTGCAGTCGCTCAAGAAAGTTTGATGAACTGGAGGGAAGTAGGCAGACGGCGTCATCTGGATCTCTGCGTCAATTGGATCCATGGGTTCTGGTTGAGGTGAGCTGGGAAAAGCATCTCAATCCCCGAGTTTTAATAATACAGTTCTTTCCCCCCAGAAATCATGCAACTTGGGCACAGGGGCGAATTCGCGCTTTTCCCAACACATCATCTCTGTCTTCCTTCTTGGATACCTTGGACACTGAGCGAATTCGCGCTTTGTCTTGGGTAGGAAGGCCTCCATGATACCAGCATCCATACCTGTTCTCATCGGTCTTCCACGGATCATGCACCTGAACTATTCTTCGTGATCAGAAGATTGTCTTTTCTCCCAGCATGTTTAGAGACATGCTTCGCCCCTGGGCTGTAACTCAATCTGTTAGATGAACCAGGACAGTGCCTCCGTTGACGTCAGGCAGTCTGCGACCCAACTCTCAGGATCGCTAGTGTTCCCTGCAAGAACCCCCGCCGCGCGCATTTGCATGGACGACGTGGTTACATCATCCTATCTGCGGAGCCTCAAGGAGTGGCTCTGCTACAAGAGGTCACTAATCTCACCTTTGTGTCTGATCTTTGGCTCATTTCTTAGTTATTCGTTACCAGGCACACGGACCATTGGGGAATTGAAAGACTGGTTGTAACTTGTCCAGCGAGTACCTTGATGACCCTGCAAGCGCATACCTTGGCCACTGAGCGAATTCGCTTTGCGCTTGGGTAGGAAGGGTTTGAACCTGCCAGTCGTTCAGCGAGCACCTTGATGACCCTTGCATGTACATACCTTGGACATTGAGCGAATTCGCGCTTTGCCCTTGGGTAGGAAGGGTTTGAACCTGCCAGACGAACTGTGACATTAGGCAACGTGAACACATCAACCGCTGCTCCTCTATGAACCCACACTTCGCAACCTGTACCGACCGAGTTCCATGATGCCTTCTGAAGGCACGAAAGGACCTATTTGTCTAGGCGCTCACGGACTTATTTGTTGAGGCGTTAGAGAAGACTGCTCGATGATCAAATTCCTGCCATGTGTGCAGGCTGCATCTGCAAACTCTACTCCGATAACCCAAGGAATCGCGGGATGGGCGGCCGATAGTGTATCTGCCAACTGGGCTTTCTCGTTGTGCGAGGAACCTTTCTGTCCCATTTTGGCTAGTTATTCGTTACTAGATTGGGGAAATGAAAGACTGGTTGTCTAGCGAGCACCTTGATGACCCTTGCAAGTACATACCTTGGCCACTGAGCGAATTCGCGCTTTGCCCTTGGCTAGGAAGGGTTTGAACATGCCAGTCGTCAGCGAGGACCTTGATGACCCTTGCATATACATACCTTGAACATTGAGCGAATTCAAGCTTTGCCCTTGGGTAGGAAGGGTTTGAACCTGCTAGATGAACTCTTGACATCAGGCAATGTGAACAGATCAACCGCTGCTCCTTTATGAACTCATTTCGACCGACTTTCATGATACCTTCCGAAGGCGTAAACAGACCTATTTGTCCAGGCGTTGGAGGAGACTGCTCGATGATGAACTCAACTGCTGCTCCTTTGTGAACCCATACTTGCCGCGCTCCGCCAACATGTCATCTCTTTACGCCCTTTTTCAAGTCTTTAACCTTGATTTCTAGATAATAAGAAGATCTAGGGACATGCTTCGCCTTTGGGCTGGAACTCAATTTGTTGGATAAACCAGATCTGTGCCTCCATTGACGTCAAGCATTCTAGAGTGATTGTCAAGATACTTTCATCATATTGCGATTCAACCTTGGCCAGACATGCTTCACCCCTGAGCTGGAACTCGGTTCAGTCTGTTAGATGAACCAGGTCAGTGCCTCTGTTGACGTCAAGCATTCTGCTGCCCAACCCCCAGCATTGCTAGTCTTCCCTGCAAGAATCCCTTGACTCTGGATTTGTTTCCCCCCGCGCTTTCAACATCGCATCGAGTGGCACTGAGCGAATTCGCGCTTTGCTGTTCGCCTGGGACGGGGTTAAATCGACCAAGTCATGCTGTGTCCTAGTATGCTGCTTCAAATCGCAACTCGTGAATCTTACAGAGCAAATGGTTCCTGCTTGGCAATCACCGACCCAGTTTGCGCTTTGCTTCACCCCAGTTGCTCTCATTCCTGTGAGCTCGTTTGCATTGCAGCGCGATACGTTCTGATAGTACGTAGATACGTCATCCTACAGCCCGTCCTTCGGATCTCTTTAATTCTC